ATTTAAAGAAACGTATCTGAAAACACAGACCTTAAAAACAACTTCAATACATTTTGGATCAAACCTATGGCAAATTGAAAGAGTCTGGAGTTCATTGTTTTGGTCGTTGTTGAGTGGTTTTTAATGGTTTTTTGTTTGTAGTGTTGCTTTTTAACGAAGTTATAGGGCTCATCGAGGGTGAATGCTGCATACAATCTCTTCGGGACAGTTTGGTCCTTTGTACCTGTACAACGTTATATTGGGGCTAGAGATTGCCACTTGCTTGCCTTGTGAGAGAAAGAAGGGCGCTTTGGAGGTACTAACTTGTGAAATGCAAGGTGTGGTGGACGACAAACACGGCGCTGGTAGTGGGGTGGAAGATGAGGAGGATGTGTTCACAAAACCTGGAAAGGGCCCAATAGTTCCATGAAAGTCATGAAAGTAAAAAACGTAACACATTCAGGCAATGCAGATTCGAATTGGTGCAGAGCGGCAAGGCAGATTCCACCGAGTTCCGGTCTCCGGCTTTCCGCTTTTCGGACAGAGCGGGACCAGGAAATACCCAACGTTTCCAGGAAAAGCTAAGTAGAGGGCATGTTTTGTTCGGTGAAATGCCTGCACAGTGGCTGTCCCGGGAAAATCTGGCCAAACAGACCGGGTTCTGCCGTTTGACCGAGGCGAGACTGGAAAAGCCACTGGGCGAGACGGGTGGATCGATGTGGCATGTGGTGGCCGGGCGCGTGGTTGGTCTAGAAACAGCAAGCAGCTCTTTGTTCCCGCTGGGTTTCTTTTAGTCCGAAACCGCGGTTTCGACCCTGCAAAGAGCTGTAAGGATGGACAAAGATCACGCGGCGCTTGAGGAGGCGGGGAGAGAGGTCCAAGAGCTGAGCCGTGAGCCGAGGGTGTCCCTTTTTGGGAACGCCCAGGCATTCTTGGCACCTTTGGCACACCCCAGCCAGTACCACTTCTCACTGGTTCCAGCCAAAGGGTCGAAGATCCATTCCCCACATCCGAAAAATCTTCATCGTTCAATCGTTCAAGGCGCTGTGGAAACAGCTCCTCCGCGCCGGACCCTCCCTTTCGTTCACTGAACTCCTTTGCGCCGGACCGCGGGCCGGGAGAGGCAGCGAGCTTCCAAGCGAAGCGCGAAGCCCAAATCCTCGCCGACGAAGCGACCACCGACAAGAAGCGTCACTGGGACGACCCACGGACCGGGCGGCCGAGCGGATGCGCGCGAAGGGCTCCGGTCCGTTCGGGTCGATTCGGCGCATTCAAAACCTTAGTGCAGAGCATGAAACCCAAAAACTGTGGAGAAGCCATGTGTGGTGAGTCAGGACGTTACCCCTTGGAACTCTGGTCCACTTACTGGACGGCAAGTAGGTGCTTCCTTCAGGGCGTGGCACAAACAGACACAAACCCACACACACACACCTGCAAGTAAAGAGGCTTGAAACCTGCTGGTAATTCTAAATCCATATTAGGTGCTGATTGCGACCCACTGGCAGTCCCACTGGCAGATTAGTTGATTAGTGAAACACCACTTGTTGTACTCAATCCGGTTGGGAAGCTTTGGTAGAAGGCCCCCAGAAGGTCGTTTCCCATCTCTGGAACTCCGCGTCTCGACGCCAAGTGGTTTTGACCCTGGAGCTTGAGGTACGTCCCACTTCCAAGAACAAACATGGGCACTTGGAAGTCTGGGCACATGGGCAGTCCACCACTAAACGACGTGAGTGTCGAGTAGTATGCACAGCCATTGTCAAATCATGTCAAGTGTATGTTTCCTCTTTGACGGCCGAGTGATAGACCAGCCGTAGACACAGAGAGAGAGAGAGAGTGCTCATCCAAGGTGCCAAGCGGCAAAAGAGAAGAGATGCCAAAGTCAAGAATCTGCAAATGAAAAAGGAAGCTGATGGAATCAACCAGCTCCTGGCCTATAGCTTTGCCAAGCTGTTTTGCTCGCTGATATTGGACCAGTAGCACGTCGTTCTATCACTCAGACAGTGCAATAATGACGGTGAAGCAAGCGCCCTCTTCCACCTTGGTGGATTGAGGACGTGACGGGATTTATGTTGATCACATGCACATGCTGAAAGACATGGGACATATGACCTACTGACTTGCTTGACCACAAGCCAAGGTTTGGGAGTGATGGAAGCTTTTTAGTGGCTCGGTCATGTTACAGCTTTAAGATTGGAGCTCTAGGCAGCAGAGATGTGCTCATGGGAGTATACAAGGAGTTCCTCACGAACGTGTATGGACACGTGTCAATGCATGCATACAGTATTGTAAAATAATGTAAAACACATGTAATACATGAAGTTGACAAAATGCTCACATGTCATGTAAAGTTATGTCCTTTCAACTTGCATGTGTTAAGGGGTCATCTCCATAGATCCATCAAATTACATCAAAACCAACGCGTTGCTCTCAACAACTCTAACAGTAACACCGCTGTTAATAAGATGTAGCCATCATGTAGCCATGTGAAGAGACACGTGTCGTTGGTCCAAGGAGATGATGGCAAAGATGGATCCGAAGGTCTGTTTCATGTGTTCGTGTCCTTCCATTGGCTGTTGGGGGTTGAGCTGTTAGCCTTGTTCGAGATGCTGATGCAAGACTTGCCTCACCTCCTCGAGTCTCAGTGTATCACCTGTTCGAGTCTCCCCACCTCTCACTCTGCTGGGGGAGGCCTTGGAGGCCGAAGTGCAGAAGACCAAAGAGCAGGCGCAGCAGGCCGCCAAGGAGGCAGCGGCCGCGAAAGCGCCTCTTGGAAGGCGTGGGATAGATATATAGCGTGGTTCTTTTCCGAGGTGAGGAGGCAAGTGGGTGTGGTGGATGAACCGCCAAGTGGAGCAGTTGTGCCATGTTGCACCAAGTTCCACCTGAAACATAAGGTGTATGAGTAGAAGTGTGTTTTGTGGATAGCGGAAGTTCAATCCACATCTGCCACATTCTGCCCGGTTCTGCGATCCAAAGTCCAAAACAACAATTATTATATCAACTATTTATAGACCTCCCCGTCATCCCATCATAGAGAGGTTGAGCGGGCTGTTCATCTAAGGTCAACCATTTCGGTGTCGCAGATGAGCTCGACACAAAACATCACCATCCGCGACGATGACTTCTGAAATCTTCATGTCCAGCCCTGTCCAGCTTCCAAAGCGGAGTCATTGGCTTCAGAGTTGTTTGGCAATAAACATGTTATAACAGATGAGAGTTGTTTCCGTCATTGCCTTGCACTCTATTAGGGGCCCAAATTGCTAACACCTTGCTCCAAGTCAATCACATCGACTGCCCAGAACCACTCAAAGGATAGACCCCCTTGCCAAATGGTTTACCATCTGACCACCATCTTTTGAGCGGTGCTGGCCATTGTTTCGTTCCTTTTTTGTTTGCGGAGACGGCGGTTACTCTGAAGTCCTATAGTCAGTACAGTTTCACTCCTTTGCCGCGGCGAGCTCGACCGATCCATCCGCACCGAGGTTTGACAGACAGACCGCATTCTGGGCCAACGACAAAAAGGAAACGGCCAAAGAACACATCGCAAAGGATCCTTTGAACCTGACAATCAAGAACGAGGATGATGATGATGATGATGATGATGATGATGATGATGATGATGATGAT